ACTCACTACTGCGACAGCAACAAGAGCATCACACTCACCTATGGCGTCCATGACGAAGGAACAGATCACCGATGCCGAGATCAATGCCCATGCCGCAAGCACACCAACCTCCCCCTTCCCTCTCCACCCCACGTAATTTTAATACCAGGCTTCTCCTAACAGACATATGCGCCCCCACCCCCTACCATAGCTATCTATCACACTCACCGTCACCCTGGCACATATCTGTCAAAAGTCCCTAATCTCCCTCTTGCTCCCCCACCTCCTCAATATACCCCCTTACTCCTATCCAATGGCACAGGACGGAATACTCCTCCTCTCCAGGCAATTGGGCCAGACGAAGAAGAATGCCCCCCGCCATAGCCATTCATCCCTCTCAAACCCCGCTGTCTCCGAGTGCTTGTGCTCCCCCCTCCCCCTAATAAGCACTAGGCTGACGCCTCTCCACCTCCGACCTCCCTCTAATGAGCTGTTCATGGCGCGAACAGCGAAAAGCGCTTCAGGGATGCACCACTCCTTCTCACAATATGGCAATTGGGCCTAACAGAGAAGGCTTCCTCCGCTATCTACTCTTCCCCCTCATTTTCCCCTGCTCTATTTGTATCTTCTTCGTTAATTTCTGCATTCCTTCCTTCTTCTCTCCTATTGGACCCTACCGGCTGCATGCTAATTATGGACAATAATGAGGTGACTAAATGACTGTTTGCATCAATCTGTGTACTAACGAGGTGACCCATCCGACTGTGTAGATGGTTAAAAGCAAAATGCTTATTGATATGTTGAATTGAATAATGTTGTGCAGCCCTGTTCCCAGATAATCTGGGTTGTTATATTGCAATGCAATATTGTTTTCCACACACACACACACACACACACACACACACAAACACAAGCACAAACTCACGCGTTAAACTTTGTGTTTTTTTTTTAATTATCAATCAATCAATCAGTCAATCAACCAACCAATCACAATCAATCAATCAATCAATCAATCAATCAATCAGCATATGTGTCTGTGAAAAACGAAAAAAAAGAAGGAAAAAAAATAGATATCTTTCTTAAGTTTTTTTCCTTTTATATTTGCATCTGTCGGTAAAAAAAAGAATCAAAGATACATGTGCACCATGTTTATCCGACCACCAATCAGATAATAAAATAATAATAAAAGAAAAAAATCCCTTTTTTTAGTATGTTTCTTTTGATTTCAATACTTGTTTTTTCGTTTTCTATTTTTAAAAGATAACAAAAAATGTCGAAATCCAAAAAAAGAAAAGGGGTTATAGGGATTTTCAAACCCTACAACCTTTTTTTTTTGTTTTTCCTATTTTCCTGGGAAATAAAAATACTGTAAGTTTCCTGGCCGCACTCGCGGTCGGGCTGGCGGTCACAATCCCAACCGCATGAGGTCAGCGGCCCCGCGGTCATGACCGCAGGGGATACATAGCATCAGATGTACATCATGTGGTAAGCACCTTTGTCTCCGAATGTTTGTGTGCAGGTTGCTAGGATGTGGATGCTTTTGCAACAGACTGGTCCTCGTTTTCAGAGGAATCTTATATGTGGCTCTTTCCCCCAACAGTGTTGATCAACCCAGTCATCAGAAGAATGAAACATTTTGGAGGGGAATACCTCCTGATCACCCCAAGTTCCTCAAGGCCTGCATGGTTCCCTGCCATCGTCAAAATGAAGATCATCAAGCAACTGCGCATCTTCTTGCTGGCCCAGCAGAAGAGTGCCACTTGGCACCCCCAACCCGGCTTTATTCCGACGGACCGCAAGAAGCATATCCTTACCGAGAAGAACCTCGGGTATGGCAACTATAACCATAACTGACAAATGAGGAGAAACTCTTCCAGCTGCCTTGGTTGAGCATCCTCTCCAGACTTCACCCTTTTCTTATCCCTTCGTGTACTCCACCTACTCGAAAACTGTGGCTGCTTCCTGCTTTTCTGGCTCACTGCAGCCAATCCTTCAATCGATTATTGACAGTCCTAAGCGTCAAGATACCTTTAGTCTCCACAGTTAGAAAAATGGCACCTTCAAGCTCGGCCCCCGGCGGCGGTAGCAAACACGTAGCTCCTCATAAAGCTCTAAGAAAGTCTCACACTACTGTCTGGCTCCTCAAAGTTCACCACAACAGACTTGCTCCGTCTTTGGGTTTTCGTATGACTTGGCTGAGCCAACCGGGCTTCCACATCTACCTCCGAACTTCTGAGTCTCAATCCTTGCCCCCCCCCCGTTGCCAACTCTCCCACAAATACCGCATTATGCATAGATCACACAAGGACTCCGCATACCGCCACCCCTTCTGAGTCTGCATCTTCCTCCTTACTGCATCCCGCTGAAATTTCATCTTATCCCGCGGCATTGCGGGCGCTTGCTCCTCAAAGACTCCATGATTAATGGCATAATTCTGATAAGCACGACGGTACATGCGAATCTTGACTGATCCACAGGGATTCTGCGACCCCTCGCGACCAAGGAACTTGAAGCAGGAGCTAAGGCAACTGAGGCTCCCTTCCACTGTACTTGCATCAGCAAAGGGCTGACCATCCTTGTCTCTGGTTCCAGAGCGAGTTTGCAACTCAGCCAGCCAGCACCCCTCGAAGAATGCCAGAACATCAAAGTTGCTGCAATCCTGCAGCCCGCAACCAACTTGTTGACTTCCAGCCAGCAAATCAAACTCCAAAGATACTGCGACCAGCTCCATACTGTGCTATCAGCTCAACTCCACCGAGAAGGCCAGAAGCAGAGGAGGCAGCCGGGGCTTTCACAGTCTGAAAAGCAGCTGCGAGACTGTGCCCCAACGTGCGCTCCAACCACCATTGTCTGCAAACGAGATTGACATTTCATCTTCATTTCAATTTCAACTTTGCTCGAAAGATGGCGAAATTTGGGTTGGGGTGGAGGTGCTGGGCCTCAGCAGGCCAAGTGTTCTTATGGAAGGATGTCCTTTCCATTCATCTGAGTTATTCAATTATGTTTAAACCAGCAAATTATTTTATTCTTTTAAATCTGTGTTTATCTATCTTTTGCAAGATTGTGTGAGATTGCCTGAACATGCCCTCAGAACATCATTAGAGGGCACGTCTTGGGCCCATTGACTTGCTGAGAGTTTGGGCGCCAATTCAGGAACTCCGGAAGACTGACGTGCGATAGCCAGCGGAGTAGAAACTTACTGCGGGTCCGCCACTGGGCCCAGTAGCTGGGCCATTTCTAGAGGAGGCATAGCAGTAGTCTCCATCTTTGCTATTTGCGGCTGCTCCCCTTGGAAAGCCAATGCGTGTGGCGCTTGAGTCCCTCCACTCGATTGCAGTACAGCAACCGCGTTCCGGTACCTGCGGCACACGAGTTTGGACTTAGTCTCCATGGAGATCCTCTTCCTATTCTTGGTGTGAACCGAGTACTGGTTTGTTTTTGACGGCTCCCAACTGCCCCATTTTCCCGCGGTGTTGGGCCTTAGCAGGCCAACTGTTCTTATGGAATGATCTCCTTTTCATCTATCTGAGTTATTCAATTATGTTTAAACCAGCAAATTATTTTATACTTTTAAATCTGTGTTTATGTGAGGATTGGCCCCTTATTGCGGCCTTGCCAACATGCATATGTTCTGGGCTAAGGTCCCCAGCAAGCCTCATGCCCGCCCTAAGTGAAGGCGGGCCAGAATATCCACGAGAGGCCTTTCTTTCAGCATTTTGAGAAATGGGTATCAGACAGTTGCAGCACGCCAGTTGGTTGGAGTGCATCGTGAAGCCCAGACTCCTGCAGAAGCAGTTGAGCCCAGGGCCTCAGTTGGTTGAGCCCTGGGCACAAGCCAGGGGAGGCCGACACATCACACATTGGACGCTGGCCAATNCCTGCAGAAGCAGTTGAGCCCAGGGCCTCAGTTGGTTGAGCCCTGGGCACAAGCCAGGGGAGGCCGACACATCACACATTGGACGCTGGCCAATCAAAAAGCAGCGTTGTCGTCGTAGAGGCCGAGCGTACCAATGGGAAACCGGCCCGCTATCTGAATCTGGACATCGGCCCTGGGCTGACGGGTGCAACTGTAAAAGTCTGGGCCCCATCTGCATTGGGCCTGGACACAGATACCGGGGCCCAGTCGCAGGCTAGAGGAGCCGCACACGCGCCTACCACGGCATAGAGGCAGTCTGGGCGCAGGGGAAAAGGATCTTGGCCGGTGCAGCATTGTCGGCATGCTGCTGCATTGTGTAGCGAGCGCGTGCATGCTGCGCTAGGTGCTCAAGCGCGCAAGCGGGCGCAGAGGTGTGGGGCGCTGCAGGGCAGCGAGTGCCGGCAGCCATAGCCGGGCTGCTGGGCGCAGTGAGAGGTAGGGAGGCGAAGGTGGTCTTCGGGAAGGAGGCACGAGAGTGGGGAGACGGGATAAGAGTGGGGAGCAACATAGGTACTTACCTGGCGTGGAGAGAGGAGGTCGGGATTGGTGTTGACGTCAAGCACGCTGGTCTTCAAGTCGTCTGGTTGTGATCATGCTGTAGTTATAGCTGTAGAGAGTAGTGTAGGTAGGGCGCCAGCGCCATTCAGAGAGAGAGCTACATTGGGTTCTGTTGTTGGTGTGGCCCTACGGGCTGGGACATTGACCTCACGATTCTGCTGTATTCGTTCTCATATGAATGGTTTCTTGGTTCCAATGTGCCATCTGCTCTTTGTTTGACTACTTGGACTTCAGCATGATTTGCAATTTGGATTTCTGTACTTCGCTCACATTCATGTTCCTTGCAATTTGGTATCAGAGCTGGTTCGATTCGCCGCTTACCTTGTGCGCTGGCGACATACAGACTTGGTGCGTTGACGATGCTCCTTCGCAGTTGGTGCTTGTGACGTCAAGCGAAATAGCGCACGACCCAGGTAGAGGGGTGCGCGCTGGATGGCTATACAGCTTGGGACGCTGTGGCGACAGCGGAATGTATGTATGGTGATGAGAGCATGCTGATGTGGCATTTGGCTGAGGTGGCACTGCATTGCATTGTGGGTGGTACCGAGGCTACGACCGGTCATCAAATGCACATTCAGCTCAATTGCTGAGGAATCTGTGGTTGGGGGCAGCTATCTTTAGGTACGTTGTTTCCTTACCTTATCTACCCTCTCAATCTCTTCTTACCGCGAGGAAGTGAGTCCAACTTGAGAGTCCTCTCTTTTTGGTGCGGTGTCGTGAGCGCTCTACCTTGAGAGACGACAATCTTCCCGGTGGCGCATCTGAAAGGAGAAAGGCCAGGTGCCTTTGAAGGGCCCTGGTCGAAGTACGTGGGTCACGATCTCCATGCCAACCCAATGGGATTAGTACACGCATGCGATGGCTGCTTTGTCCATTGAGGCTCTTTGCTGCGTTGATACAGGGGTGTGCAGACTGAACAGGCTTATGCAGACGCTCCCTGACCGTCTATAAACATTTTTGGTTGGGGTTCCGAACTGTCCACTGGCTGTGATCGTCGTCTTGTTGGCGACGTTAAATAATTCCTGAGCGACCTTGGGGGCTGTCCTTAAATTGCCTCTTGATCAGCCAGATCAGTCGGACGTACGGCTCGTTGCACGCGAGGATAAATAACGGGCAAGCCTGGTCATAAGCATACACCTAGGGCACAGGGGTGGGCCGACATTCCACACCTAAGACATTGTTGCTCATTGATGCTCATCGGTATGTTGGATTGAGGGGAGGGGAGGTTCCAATTGGTGCTCAACTCAGTCAATTGTAAACACAACCATTTCCACTGTTCATACATCTGCAACATAATTTAGTTTTACTTTTGATTAGTTGGTTGACAGACTGCTACTACCTCACAGACAGCTCAGTTTAGGACTGTAGTATACTACCATCGCCAGTTCTATGCAAAGCTTCTGTAAGTGAACTAATCTGGATAAAATTAGATTATGTGAACAGTCTTTGTGAATGTTGCAGGTTGCCACTTGATCGGTTAAGTAGGGGACCTGCCGGACACATTTATTTTTAGAAAATAAGGTGTCGGTCAGACACATGCTGTGGTAGGACTCCAGCAGGGAGTTGTAGTGCAGATAGTGTTTGCCTAGCTGATGAGTGGGTCAGACTCCGATGAGGGTAGAGTTGACGATACGAGGCTGACACGTTCGAGATCATGTAGGGTCCCGTACGTATTTCAGTTCCTACAGTCGGGAGACGAAAGACGGCTTCGTGTCGAAGTTAGAGCCCGTGCTTACGCAGCAGCCAGGGAAGCAGCACTAACTGCAAGTCAGGCGTTAGCAGCAGCAAATGCCGCAACTAGGGAACAGGCAACAGCAACGGCCAGCGCAGCAGCAATGGCTACCGCCGCAACATCCTCAACTGCATCCTCGTCTGGGACCCAATTGGGAATGCCCCATGGGCCCACGGGTACTTCTGGATCAGTAGGTTCCAGTCACTCCACTAGTCAAATGACGGGTTCGCAGCTCAGTCCGTTGACCCCACGCGGGAGGGAGCTACAAGAGCTCCAACAAGTTGAGAGGATCCGCACACGGTTAGAGAGGGAACTGAAGCAAGCTACCAATATAAAAAATGAGATTATAAATAGAACAACCAGGCTAGATACATTTGAGGCAGACAAAGCTGCATTAGAGGAGTTAGATGATTCAACAATGTTTGACGCAATGAAAGTGTTAAGGTCCAGCATACTGTCACTGCATGCGTATGTAGACAGCAGGCTGGACTTCATGCAGAACTCCTTGGACCAAATCTTGGACCTTTTGCAAAGGCTAGGATTACGGCCAGCAGCACAGTCGCCGTTGTCGTTGACGGCGATGTCAAGCCCCTTTCCGATACAAACTGGCACACAACCAAGTGGTACGTCTGCAGCAGCTGCACAGACTGTTGCTTCTACTTCTTCTGGTCCAGCGGCTGGAGCTACACCACAGCCGCAACAATTTATTCCACCGCAGGGACGACAGAAAAGTCCATGGTACCCAAAGACCCCGATGAAGCCACCCCTTGCTTTCTCCGGTGAGAAGAAGGATGAGGAACTCAACACTTGGTTGAGGACGGTTTCGATGTGGGTAAGGGCAAAGAGGACGTTGCAGGAGGAGGAGGTGATTACTGTTGCATCTTACCTTGAGGGTAAGGCAGCCAAATGGCTGGATGGGATAGTAGCTAAGACCGGGTTCGGACAACGCATGGCAGACTGGGGTAAAACCCTCACTTTAGAAGAGTTCTGGATATGGTAGAAGCTCGCTGGCATAATCCGCAGCAGGCACAAATTGCCACTGATGCAATGCTCAGACTGGACCAGAGAAGGTACAAGTCTGTCAAAGAACTGATGTCTACCGTAGAGAACCTCATCGTCATTCCTGGGATACGCTACGATGACCAGGTCTTATTGACCATGTTTCTGAGGTGTCTGCCCGAGAATCTCAAAACCTTACTGGCCAGCGAGGCTCGCCTCGAGTATCATTCTTTTAAGACCTTCTGTAGAAATGCCTTAGACTTGGAGGCTACCCTAGGAAGTGCTCAACCTACTCCAGTAGACGGGAGGAAGAAGAAGAGTCCACAGGAATGGAAAAAGAAGGGTAGTAGATTGATGATGGTTGAGTCCGATGGGACTCAAACTGAAATCGAGGAACTCACCGACCTGATGGACAGCTCAGAGTACGACGGCGAGGAGATCGTTGAGGGTAGCACCCTCGCCGCAGTAGTCAAGGTAAAGGCAGGTGGCGGCGGAAAAGGCGGCCATCAAAAGAGTCAATGGCAGACCGCCTCCAATCAGTCCAAAATAGCAGATTGGGTTGAGGTAGTTCTTGATCAGGAAGTGTGGCGGGACCGCCGAGTGCGTGGTGTTTGCATCAACTGTGGTGAATACGGACACACCAGTATAAATGCAAGAACGCAAAGGTCACGCAGAAGATACCCCCTAAGGGAGGGGTGCCTTCTTCCCTGTCTGGGACCAGTTCCAGTTCGGCAAACACTTGAGCCTGGTGGAAGTTTTAGCTGCTTCTACTCATGGTGAAGTGGGACAGATACCCTCCCCACTTCATGAGATGGCCACAACTAATGACTCTTCAGTTACCCCCCAGACACATCCAAACCAAACCATGCTCTGTACGTTGGATGTGTCTGAAGCCTTAAAGGACTTACACAGCGAATGGTCGAATAGTAATCCACGCAAGTCCTGGGTGGCACTAAGTGCAAGTCCTAGAGGGGAACATTTCGTAGTGGAGGTTGTTGTAGGAGGCCGCAAATGTGGTGCCTTCGTAGACATCGGCTCCACCCGGAATTTTATAAGTCGCGACTGTTTGGAAAGGCTGCGCCTAGAGGACCAGGTGCAACACCTAATAGACCAGTAGCATCTACTTTGGCAAATAAGGAGCGCATGGTTGTCACATACTATGTCAAGGATGTAGTCTGCACCTTCTCCTATGGAGGAGGGGAACTTAATCACAAGATTTCGTTCCTGGTTAGCGACGACTTACCATTTGATATGCTGTTAGGAATGTACTACCTTGAGGTTGCCAACCCCCAGTTTGACTGGGACAAGAAGGTGCTCAAGCATGAGTTGCCTGATGGAAGGACCGTGAGACTGGCCAAGTATAAGGCTAGTAGGTTACTAGAATCCTACGAGTGTTTGTGCGCATCAGCATTCTACAATAAATATAAATAAATAAAACCAAGAGGAGGGTATGTACCTACTGTATGTCTTTGAGAAAGGGGAGGCCGTTAAAACACCCCCAGAGATAGAACATGTCGTCGCTAAGTTCCCTGATTTGTTTGAGGAACCTACAGGAGTCGTAAATAGGAAGATTGTCCCCGCCATAGAAATCATTCCCGGGAGTAAAACCCCAAAGGGAAGGATCTATAGGATGGCTCCGGCCGAGTTGGACGAACTTCGGCAACAACTGAAAGAGCTCACAGAGAAGGGATGGATACGGCCTAGTACTTCCCCCTTCGGATCACCAATGTTATTTGTACCGAAGAAGGGGGGGTCGTTGAGGATGTGCATTGATTATAGAGGCCTCAATGTCATCACTGTGAAAAACGCTGAGCCTCTACCACGCATTGAGGACCTATTGGATAGGGTGCAGGGATGTAAGTACTATACCAAGGTAGATTTAAAATTCGACTACCATCAGATTGCCATAAGACCTGAGGATCAACACAAAACCGCATTTCAGACCAGGTACGGTCTGTACGAGTTTGTGGTGATGCCCTTCGGCCTTTGCAATGCGCCGGGTATATTCCAGCACGCCATGAATAGGATCTTCCATGACTAGTTGGACAAGTTTGTCGTCGTGTACCTCGACAATATTCTTGTCTTCAGTAAGTCTGTCGAGGAGCATGCACAACATTTAGGTATTGTTCTCTCACTCCTGCGGCAACACAAGTATAAGGTCAACCTAGAGAAATGCGAGTTCAGACGCACTAGGATCTTGTACTTGGGTCATGAAGTATCTGCGACAGGGATTAGGTCGGAAGACGCAAAGGTGGCTAGTATAAGGGACTGGCCACGACCTCAGACTATTACTGAGGTCTGATCTTTCTTATGAATGTGTGGTTATTATAGGAACTTCGTGAAGAATTATTCTACAATCATCTCTCCTTTGACTGATCTCACTCGACTTGACACACCATGGGAATGAAGTGATGAGTGTGAGGCTACTTTCAAGCGATTGAAGCATGCCCTCATGGATCATGAGGTTCTCATGGTACCCGATCCTCAGAAGCCTTTCATTGTGACCACTGACGCAAGCCAATATGGCATTAGCACAGTGTTGGCTCAGCAGGATGGGAAAAAGTTTGAGACCGATTGAGTACATGAGGAAAAAGATGCCATCCAAAAAGTTGGCAAAGTCCACCTACGAGAGAGAACTCTACGCCTTGTATAAGTCACTAATCCATTGGAGGCACTTTCTGTTGGGTAGGTTCTTCTATTTGAGAACTGACCATCAGACGCTGCAGTGGATACAGACACAGCCTGTTCTCTCCGATGCCCTCAAGCGATGGATTGAAGTCATAGAGCAATATGACTTCGAAATCGATTACTTGAAGAGGGAGTATAACAAGGTTGTTGACGCACTGTCGCGTAGGGCGTATTACCTCGGGGCTTTAGTCACTAAATTCGACATTTCCGACGATGTGACTCGATCGCTGGAGGAAGCTTATCGGAAAGACCATGTCACGATGGACATCATTCACAAATTGCAGGTCAAAGACAAGGGCACAGAAGAAGAGTTTGTGATGGTGGATGGGTTGCTTTTTTTGAGAAAGGATGGGATTGAAAGATTCGTTGTTCCATCTAGTAAGAATTTGCGCATTTTATTTTTAGGTGAATGCCATGATGCAACTGGACATTTTGGCTACAAAAAGAGCAGTGTCAATCTAGTACAACGATTTTGGGGGCCCAGTATGCTAGATGATGAAAAGAAGTATGTGGAGACCTGTGAGGTCTGTCAGCGGGACAAGCTGCGAACTCAAGCACCGCTTGGGTTGCTGAAGCCCTTGCCCATTCCCGCTGGTCGGGGACAGAGTGTTTCCATGGATTTCATGGACACCCTGGTAACCAGAAGGAGCGGCAAGAGACACATCTTTGTCATCATAGACAGATTCACCAAGTATGCTAAACTGATTGTCATGCCAGAGACTGCGAGGACTGAGCACGTCATCAAGTTGTTTATGGACAACTGGGTGCGTGATTTTGGACTACCAAAGTCAATCGTTAGTGACAGAGATGTCCACTTCACAAGTGAGTTGTGGAAGAAGACTGTTGAGCAAATGGGCAGTCAACTTCAGATGACTTATGGGAATCATCCCGAAGCCAACAGACAGGCCAAACAGATGAACAAAGTTGTGCAACATCTGCTGAGGCACTACATTAAGCCCAACCAGGATGACTGGGATGAGAAATTGCCTCTCATCGCCAGCCTGTACAACAATGTTGTGCACAGCACAACCAGCGTTAGTCCTAACCAGCTGCACTTGGGATGGAAGCCTAGCTCCGCTCTAGACTTCCTCCTACCTGAAAACCAACCTGCTGCAACACCCGGCACCTTGGAATTCGGGGTGCAGTATGAGAAGTTGAAGCTGTCGAGCACATCAAGAAATCTCACGAAGCAATGATTGCTTCTGAGAACAAACATCGTCGACCGTCCACATTTTAGGTAGGGGAACGTGTCTGGGTTAAGGCTAGTGAACTAGGACAGGAATTTGGAATCTCTCGTAAACTAATGCCACAGTATTTCGGCCCCTGGGAAGTCTTGGATGTAGTTGGGGATGATTTGGATGGTCCCTCCTATGTTATTCGAATCCCTGGTCACCTGCGCACTTACCCTGTCTTCCACGCCTCAAAGCTTGCACCTTTCGCTGAGACAGCTCAGTTTCCATCCAGGAGATCAATGCTGCCCCTAACCATGGACGGCCACGTGGACATCGACGACATGCCTGTTCCAAAACCTCTGGGTAGAGGGAGACCTCCAAAACCCAAGAGAGAATACAGGGTCAGATTCAGGCATCATACAGATCCGAAAGAAGATCGATGGTTCACCAGAGAGGAACTGATTGAGACAACACCTCAGGTGGTGGCTGAATATGAAAGAAAGTTAAAGGGGAAGGCACCTGCGAGGTTAGCATCTCAGCGGACTTTCGAAGCTAAGGGGGATGGAATATGAGGATTGAGCCCTCATTGGGGCCTTGCCAACATGCATATGTTCTGGGCTAAGGCCCCCAGCAAGCCTCATGCCCGCCCTAAGTGAAGGCGGGCCAGAATATCCACGAGAGGCCTTTCTTTCAGCATTTCGAGAAATGGGTATCAGACAGTTGCAGCACGCCAGTTGGTTGGAGTGCATCGTGAAGCCCAGAGTCCTGCAGAAGCAGTTGAGCCCAGGGCCTCAGTTGGTTGAGCCCTGGGCACAAGCCAGGGGAGGCCGACACATCACACATTGGACGCTGGCCAATNCCTGCAGAAGCAGTTGAGCCCAGGGCCTCAGTTGGTTGAGCCCTGGGCACAAGCCAGGGGAGGCCGACACATCACACATTGGACGCTGGCCAATCGAAAAAAAGCGTTGTCGTCGTAGAGGCCGAGCGTACCAATGGGAAACCAGCCCGCTATCTGAATCTGGAAATCGGCCTTGGGCTGATGGGCGCAACAGTAAAAGTCTGGGCCCCATCTGCATTGGGCCTGGACACAGATACCAGGGCCCAGTCACAGGCTAGAGGAGCCGCACACGCGCCTACCACGGCATATATGCAGTCTGGCCGCAGGGGAAAGGGATCTTGGCCGGTCCAGCATTGTCGGCATGCTGCTGCATTGTGTAGCGAGCGCGTGCATGCTGCGCTAGGTCAAGCGTGCAAGCGGGCGCAGAGGTGTGGGGCGCTGCAGGGCTGCGAGCGCCGGCAACCATAGCCGGGCTGCTGGGCGCAGTGAGAGGTAGGGAGGCGAAGGTGGTCTTCGGGAAGGCGGCACGAGAGTGGGGAGACGGGATAAGAGTGGGGAGCAACAGAGGTACGTGCTGGGCGCAGTGAGAGGTAGGGAGGTGAAGGTTGCAGCGGGCCTTCATCTGCCCTGGCCTACAGCCAGGGCCTATTTGGCTATTTGCCAGTTCGGCCTGTGGGACCAGGCCGTGGCCTGACCCCACAGGCCGTATATTGTTTCAGTCCAGTCCAGTCCCGCCCGGTACCACGGTCGGTACCAGGCCAGTCCAGTCCAGTCCAGTCAGTCCGCTGGGGGTATACCCCAGCTGCAGTCTGTTTTTCGCCATTCTTCACTTTCGCAGATCTTGGAGTACTTGCGTGT